GAATTTTCTCACTCATCTTGTTATGATTGAACCAAATTTTCAATTCTCTATCCAACGATTGCAATGTCGCCAACCCAGCCCCTCCTTGTGCTGGGGTTAAGTCGACTAAAGATAATTTTTCTAGATGCATAGACAACAAAAGACTGAATTTTTATGACCCCCCTGACTGGAAAGCTGGGTCCGCCCCTGCACTGTGGAGCATTTGGAGTTGGTGGTTCGCATGCGGTACGATCAACATCTGCAAGGCGCTGCGACCCACTAACCCACTCGCCCAGTTCTTCAGCGCCGCCAAGTGGTTTTGGTTCTTTCGGTACCTTTTCCAACTTACATCGCTTCCATCGCGGATTATTCGGCCAGATACTGTTAAGCAAATACAGGCGGTACCCATTTACCGAAATGCCATGCACAGACTGTCCATTTTCAGTTCAAATTTACTTAACATGTTCAATGGGCAACCCGGGGGCTGAAGCCTTTAAGCACATTATCAGGCCTCTTTGAGGAGTTGCTCTTGCGCTTGTGTTCGTTTCGCCGCTTGCCGATCCATCTCGGCACTCAATTCCCACAGTAAATCTCGTAAAATGGACAATAAAGCTCATGGCTCATGAAATTTGCGATTTAATAAATGACAGTGACCCATTTGAATGTACAAAATTTCCTCAGCATGTTTGACTGTCGACCTTTTGAATGGAACCTTTGACTTTAAGTGTGCATGTTGGCGTTTTGTTCTTCGTCGCTTTGACCTAGAACCGTGACAATAATGAAAAGATATCTAAATGCTGATATGCGCGTTCAATGTGAGGATGTGTCTCGATCATGTTTCCCTGTCTTTGTTCTCATCTAAAGGCCGCGGGACGTTTTTACTTTTTTGCCTTTGCAACAGCAGCCAAACTGACTGAAATCGGGCCAATTTGGGTTTGGTGATGAAAACCTCCCATACTGATCGACTTAATCAATGCTAACACCTTTTGATTGAAACTGCCAACTCTAATCGGGAGAGTCATTGCATCTCGCGCTTACAACATTAAGGTTTAATTTGCGTGCCTATTTGCTTGTTGACGCGTTAATTACTGCCGAAACCTCAATCCGAATGAGGAACTGGGTCGACGGAATTTGAAGGCCAAGGAGATGCCTACTCTCGTAAAAATCCCGTTGCTTCACTGAATCAGTCGTAACAATATTACGAAATCATTAGCAATTTTGCCCAAGCTACATACAGCCTACATCCGGATGAATATGTTCGGTTTACCGTTGATTGATTGAGCATTTTAATCTATGCGCCATGTTTTACTTCATTCGGAGTTTTCACCGTACGTGAAATTAATCATGCGTGTGGGCACGTAGTGCGAATCGACAGGTTGGATTAAAACAGGAGTGGCAAGGGCGGATCAATTCTCTATCCAACGATGCCAAAACGAAATATCTGGCTCGAATGGTTCTTGAGACACTTCGGAAACAGTAGAGTCATGTTCAAGTGGATTTTGCAACTCAAAGAAAACCACGCAAATCTAAAACTTCTTGAATTCAAGCATTTTTTGAGAAAACTGCCAACATTTCCTCATCGGTGGTTCACTTTCTGCAAAGGCCATTTATTTCTCTCTAGAATGAGGTATAAATGAGCGTTCTGGCAAATTTTGCCTCCGAGATATGAGCAAAAACGGGACGGAAAACATGAAATTTTGGCATAATCTTGCACCTAAGTGTCTGATATTCAAATTTCGCTTTCT